TGTTACTATTTTAAGACACCTACCTCAATAATTTTTATTTCTTTTTACTAATAGGCTATCATAGATTTGTATTTTTATAATTTGTAAAGCTGTTCCCAAATGTCTGCATCTCTACCATGAACTAGGAACTTTCCTTTTCACCCCTAAAATTGCAGAACATGGAGGGGCTCTAGTAGCCTCCATCCCAGCCTCGTTGGATGGAGCTCTGTCTGTACGTCTCTAATTGTGTATCATTTATTGAGGACAGGATCTTACAGGTCTTGTTAGGATTATAAAATGAAGCATGTGATATAGACACTGATGGACAGTTTTCTAGATTAGAAGACTTGCAGGAAATGCCTAATCGTTGAACTGGCTAAAGATATTTTGAAAAAATATATTTTCCTAAAAGATAATTAAGTCCTTAACCTGATTATTTATAAAGACAAGAGACGCTTATGGGGGCCAGCTGGTGGCACAGCAGTTAAGCTCGCACATTCCTCTTCGCTGGCCCAGGGTTCACCGGTTTGGATCCCGGGTGTGGACATGGCACCACTTGGCAAACCATGCTGTGGTAGGCGTCCCACATATAAAGTAGAGGAGGATTGGCAGCAGATGTTAGCTCAGGGCTAATCTTTCTCAAGGAAAAAAAAAAGAGATGCTTATGTTAGGGAGATAAACCATGTATTTTTAGCAGGTTCTCTCCCTTGCTATAAAATGGAAGGATCTTAAATCCACTACCCGCTAACTATCACAAGGAACCCTCTAATTTAAGGCTTTTTTTCTTATTATCCCCCAACAGAATGAAGAGTAAGTCCTGGTCCCAGGCTTGTCTTTGCTGACCTGGGCCCGCGGCAGTAATGCTTTTTCTGGAAGCTGCTGGGTGTGATCCAGCTGTTGCTCTGTGAGTGGAGTCCCTTCTCCAATGCTTTTCTTGCAGTAGTTTTGCTAAAATGCCCCATTTGCTTGTGAGCTTAGAACTTTAGAAGTAATTTTAGTTTTGTTTGGTTTTGTTGTTTAACTTAAGAAGTCTGGTGTCCAATGTGGCTGTATTGGTACATAAGAGACTATGTGTAGAGAAGGAATGAAAAGTATGTACAGAGCAGATTGAATGAGTACTGTGTCTTCGGAAACCTTGGGTTTCAATATCTAAGGCAGTTCTGTGTAGATCTGAGTTCAGGGTGGACTTGCTAGAGCACTAGTATGTGTTGTTGTATTTCTCCAGTTGGGGAAGCGTTCTTTTAATATGTGGAGACCCGGGGCTGGCCCCATGGCCAAGTGGTTAAGTTCACGCGCTCCGCTGCATGCGGCCCAGTGTTTCGTTGGTTCGAATCCTGGGTGCAGACATGGCACTGCTCATCAAACCATGCTGAGGCAGCGTCCCACATACCACAACTAGAAGGACCCACAACAAAGAATATACAACTATGTACTGGGGGGCTTTGGGGAGAAAAAGGAAAAAATAAAATAAAATGTTTAATATGTGGAGACCCCCAGAATGGGTAAGGATATTTGTAGTAATTAGAATTTAAGACATGACCTAAGCAAGTATGTATACTTTTGACTTGCTTTTGAATTTAGTTATTAAAAAAAAAAAAGTGGTGAGGCTGGCCCCATGGCCTAGTGGTTGGGTTTGTGCACTCCACTTTGGCAGCCCAGGGTTTCACCAGTTCAAATCCTGGGCGTGGACATGGCACCACTCGTCAAACCATGCTGGGGCAGCGTCCCACATGCCATAACTGGAGGGACCCACAGTTAAAAATGTACACAACTCTGTGCTGGGGGACTTTGGGGAGAAAAAGGAAAAATTAAGAAAGCTTGAGGAAAAAAAACAAGTAGAGTTTGGAAATATGAAGCAGAGGAGAGAGAACCACCTAATCAGTATCTGCCAATATACAGCCATGCGCCACATAGCAACGTTTCAGTTAATGACAGACTGAGCATACAACAGTGGTCCCATAAGATTAGCACCATATAGATGAGGTGTGTAGTAGGCTGTACCATCTAGATTTGCATAAGTTCAGTCTGCTGTTTGTACACAATGAAATCACCCAACGACGCGTGTCTCAGAACGTATCGCTGAGTAACGCATGACTGTAATGAGCATTCCAGGAGAGTTTATTAGGATTGCATACACAGAGGGGAGAGTAGCACAACCAACACAGCTTCAAAGCAGTGACAGGTCCATGCGTGGGGGAGGCAGTGCACAGGTTGAGGGCACAGGAAGCTAGGGTCCACATCACATCACAGGCCTCTACTGGAGAACCCTTGGGTATCTTTTGTGACTTCTTTTATGTAGCAGCAATCTCTCCAGAGGCTTAAATGTAGTACCATTGCACACACAACGATGTGAATCACCTGTGTTGCTCACGGTTCCCCACTGCAGGCTGCCCAACAGTGGGAGGGGCTCGCAGGCTCTCTGGGCCTTTCAGAACTGACTGGCGGTTGGAGGACCAGAGCCACTGACATGAAAGGAAGGGTCAGGTTGGCACTACCCACTGCCCTACCCTGAAGAACTGCTGACTTTTCCTCAAGGCGTTGTGTGACTACAGCTTCAGGGCCCCAGAATGAGGCACCCAGATGTCAAAGCCCAGGTCACATGCTTGCCCCCAGCTGTACCAGAATCGGGAGAGAAGGATCTGGATCATCTAGTTGCTATAGTGCAAAGCAGTCACTGCCTCCCATGGGGAAGCGAGGCTGCAGGGTGCTGTTGGGAAGAGGGTTTGGTTGCTAGACAGCAAAAAAAAAAAAAAAAAAAAGACGCTTGTAAACTGTATCACCTGTATTTATATGAAGCTCAGTCTCTTTACAAATAATAACCATCTTTCTCAGACTTAGCCTCCATGCATGGATAATATTCACTTTCTTTTCCTTTAATGATTCATCCATTGTTTTAAAATTTTTTAGAACTTGGAACTATCTTTTTAAATTTTGTCTTTATTTTTATCACAGTTGTATGTGTACGTTGTTTGGAACCATAGTTCTACCGGTTTCTAATGAGGAGCAGCATTCCATGTCCTCCCACTCCTGTTTTCGCCCCAGAGAAAACTATTTTCAATTCTTTCTCGCTGATTTATTCAGTATTTATCTTGATATTTCTAAATGGTACACTGTGGCTATGTCTTCATATTGCCATTTTAGGCATTATTTATCTACTTCCTACTATGGAAAATGAATTTTGTTTTTCTCAACACTTTAGGCCTAACCGCACCTACGTGCTCTTCTCCTTCCCCCATCGCAGGATAATTGCATCGGCCCGTATTGTTATGACTATGTCAGCTCTGCTTGCGGTGAAGCCCGTGGTATACTGTGACTATTGCCTTCTTCCCGTACCACCTTTGATTCTTCCCTGATGTTAATTGTCTTGATTTTTTATTCATTTGCTTAGATTTTCTGTGCTTCTCACTAATTTAACCCCCAAATCTTCCCTAATTGTATAAATCTTCTTTCCATATAAACACATTAGATATTCTATGAATTTCACCTTTTTAAAGGAATTCTGTCCCTGAGCGTCTGACCTGCTCTTGTCTGGACCCCGGACCAGTTGCCCTCCAGGCCTGCTAAAGAGCTGTTGTTCTGGAGTCTCCTTCTCTGTCACTCCCAGGACCCCTTCAGCTGTGTCTTGTTTTGGATCCCTTGCTTCCTGGATCCCATGTCATCCTCTTCCTTGGTCTTCCCTGTCATTCTGAAAGAGCATATTATCATTAGTTTTGGAGATCATTTCCCTGAGAGTTTAAAGGCACTGCTCCATTTTTTTCTATCCTCCGGCGCCCCTATTGAAAAGTCTGATTCACTCTGATTTTTTTTCCCCATTCTACTTCTGACCTTTTATGTGAGAACTTGTTTTCCCTCTGGAAGCTTCTCTTTATCCTTAACATTCTGCAAGTTCACAATGATGTGGCGTGGGCGCTTGCTGTAGCCCTTCAATCGGGGACGTTTTCTTGAGTTAATTCACTGATGGCGTCCTCTCCCTGGTTTTTTCTGCTCTGTCTTTCTCGAACTCCTGTTAGCGAGATGTCGGACCTCTTGGACTAATGTCCAGTTTTCGTATCTTTCCTCTCCTATTTTCTTTCATTGTTATCTTTCTATTTTTCTTTCTGAAAGAGTTCAACTTTGTCTTCCAACCCTTGGATTGAGTTATTTGGTTCTGCCATCAAAATGTGTGTTTTCTGGAGTTCTTCTTTGTTCTCTGTTCTTTTTTTAAATTCGTATTATTGCCTCACATCTTGTATGATGAACAATACAGGACCTAGAAAGTAAAAATACTTAAGTTAGAGGTATTTTCTGACTGAAAGAGATTATCGACTCACCAGCCTCAAAAGTTTTAACCTTGAGCCAGAGAAAATCACCTAAAATACACAAAATTCAATTGTATATAATTTTTACTGTCTGTAAGGGTTATGTTGTCTCTGATTGTTTGTTTGTTTATAATGCTCCTTTTTAAAAGTGTGTCTTCCTCAGTAGTCTCTTTTTTCCTCTCAGTTGCTTTTTTCTCTTTGTCTTGGTCTGTCTTTCATGGTAAATGCTTTCTTGGGTTTCTGGCGATGCTTGGCTGTCTTCTCACATTCAAGAGCAGACCACTAACAAGCTACAGGAGAGCTCTGGGCGTGTGGGTGAAGCTCCTGGACTATGATCTTCACTGTAGGGCGATCTGCCTGGGTCGTTTCCTGGGATGCCTCTCAAGTCCGTTTCTTTAGGTCTTTTATCTTGGCTGGTCAGATTCTGTTGGAAATTTTTAAATTTTGCACTGTTCATTTTCTCCCTCTTTCTTACCATTTCTAGATGTGTACAGTCTTTGGGTTCTTATGTCGTACACAAAAATATCTCCTCTGGGTCTCTGCTTCTTCCTCTAGCTGCCTTTTGGACTCTCCTACACATTCTTATTCACTTTCATGGCACTTAGCAGTTAGACTGACTTACTGAAAAGTAAACAAGAGTTGGTAGGAGCAAATCTGAGACACCTAGAGTACAAAGTAGGAGTCACTTTGAGTGCCTTGTTTTTCCTTAATATATTTGATCAGAAATTGGATGAACCTTCGGGATGCTGAGACAGGGAAGATACTCTGGCAAGGAACAGAAGACCTGTCCATCCCTGGAGTGGAGCATGAAGGTATTCCCCACCCCTTTGTCTGTCTGCACTGGGCAGTCGGAGCAGGACCTAGGCGTCAGGGAGCTGAGTTAATGCAGACCTCACAGGGGGCAAGCTCCTGGAGGCACAACATGTTGGTCCACATGGTGTTGAGATTTCCGGTTCCTTTCTTTGTTTCTTTCTCCCACTTCCCAAAACCCACTTTGTGCTGAAATTTTAGCATTAGAACATACCCAAATATATAAACTAAGATCTCAACTTTCTTTTCCAAAAGAAAATTTGCATTTTTATCTCCCTGCAATAAAAGAAAAACTAAGGAGTTAAAACCAACAGAGCAGAGTAAAGAGAAGGTGCCCATTCAGCCCCCTTCCTGATGAGAGTAGGTAGGTAGGGCTCTGAGACGCACTAAATCGGGCAGACCTCGAACACTGCGCTCAAATGCACTCGACCACGTGGGGACCTCTGCCTTTAACTAAAAATTCTGTAATTCTATTACCAAGGCATTCTCTGAAATTTAACGTAGATAACGTGCTCTCTAAATCAGCTCTCAGAAGCTCCCAGAAACTTGAAGCACCACAGGCATGGGGTTTTCATTTAGAATGACTTCGATATTTCTTTTTCTTTACCAGCCCGTGTTCCCAAGAAAATCCTCAAGTGTAAGGCAGTGTCTCGAGAATTGAACTTCTCTTCAGCAGAGCAAATGGAAAAATTCCGCTTGGAACAAAAAGTTTACTTCAAAGGGCAATGCCTAGAAGGTATTCTGCTGCCTGCGTGCCTGAAATCTGGGCTTAGGTCACAGGGACAAAAGGCACGTCCCAAGGGACCAAAGCACTGCTTCGGTAACATTCATTTTGCAACTCAGTTTGTGATAGGATTCCTACGCCCTGTGAGATTGGGACCCCCAGCGAAAACAAACAGAAACAACGCTGACAGCTACAAGGGGCTTTGAGCCCAACAAAAGGGTTTCTGACACTGGTGGGCCTGGGGTTGGTGCCTCCTTTGTCAGTGACATGTTATTGTAACATGGTCACAAGGCAGCTGCTGACTAGGGCCTGGTATGGTGCTCTCCATACGGTCTCCTACAGATTGACCAACAAGGCCACTCTGCACTGAGTTTTCAGCACAAGTGTAAGAGTGCACATGTGTGTCTCAGAGCTGAAATTCCAAGTCAAAGGGCCTATTCTGTACTTCTCTTTATACTTTACATCCAGCCTACTTCTAAGAAAGTGTTGCTTGTACTGTATCCTCCTACTGGTTCTTGTCCTTTAGACCCCAGAGCATAGGGAGCAGGCCCCTCATGTGGTTCAAAGGACAGGCTGAAGGGGGCTTCCGTGTCCTTTCTTATGCCGCTGGCCTGGGAGGTTTCTGATGGGTTCTTTGCGGGTTCTCCAGGTAGGAAGAGGTTCCCTCTAAATAAGGGGGACAAGGAGCCCTGAAACTCTGGGGTGCCCTCTCACCTGCTTTTCCTTCTTCCTTCAGAATGGTTCTTCGAGTTTGGCTTTGTGATCCCTAATTCCACAAACACCTGGCAGTCCCTGATAGAGGCAGCACCCGAGTCCCAGATGATGCCAGCCAGCGTGCTAACGTGAGTGACAGGCCACGGGAATTGTGGAGTATGTCTAGAAGCAGGCATTCCAGGCAGGTGGGACTCGTGGTCCCATTTAGCAGGAAGGCAACCTAGGCTGAACATAAGAATAAAAGAGTATCCAGGGGAATCCGGGTTACCGGTTACTGACATTGTCATGTGAAGAAGACAGTGTGATGGAATGGAGAGAGTGAAAAGATTTAGATTAGACTTTTAGACTAAATTCCTGATTAACCCTCACTAGCTGTATAATCTGGGACAATGTACTTTACCTCTCTGGGCCTTATTCTTCTCCTTTCTAAACAGAGAATTAATAATTCTCTTTCGCCAAGGTGTAGTGAGGATAAAATGAGATGATACAGAAAGAAACTGGTATATAATATATATTAAATCTATGCTAATTTGCTCCCTTTCCTGACTACCAAACTTTTGGTACTCTATACTTTGTTTGGATGGCCTTTAATGGAATCTGGCAAAGTCCTAATTCTGTTTCAGAGGACAATGTTTGGTTGCAGTTTTTCAGAGACTAGCATAGCTTAGCTATGCTTCCTGCTCAAAGAATAGTTTGTCCATTGTCCAAAAATAGTCAATAACTGCCCACCTACCATTTTTTCTTGGGAAAAGATATCAGTCTTTCAAAGGTTTTGGTCATAGTGCCTAGTAATAAGTTATTCACACAGATAATTGTGTAGTATTGGCCCATCTCTTTAAACAGGTCCTTTAGGAAAACCACATTGAAATTTATACACAGAGGTTATTTACTTTATAAGTCTTTAATAGATTTTTCATTACAATAGTGGGTATTTTTATATTCTATCAATCAGTCAGATCTTGAGTTCCTTATCTATTTTATAACTAATTACTAAAAAAAAGTATCTGCTGGCTATTAATTACCCTGGGAAAGTACAGTATAGTATGTAGAAGGGCATTTTTTAGGTTTCATTAAACTTCGTTTGACTTCTTCTTGGCCAGGCCTGATTTCTTTCAGGTACTAAAACCGGTAAGTCTGATAACATACTTAGGTTAAGTCCTGTCTTGCTTTTTAGAACCCAAAACAGTGCCTCTCTTGCCCTTATCATGATTCAAGTGTGGTTTGGTTTGGAAACCCTGAGATACCCACCAAGAAAAATGAAATCCCACTCTGCACAATACAGCTGTGCCGTTTGGTTTCTTTGGTTGAAGCCACAGAAACTGACTCTGGCTAACGTGACAGAGTTGAAAGGGTAGGGCTAAGACCTGGGCAACTAGAAAGATGGAGCAACCTGGGGGTGGTCTCCTCCTCAAGGAGCAACCATAGGAAGGATCCTGCTCAGGAGAGAGAGTCTGATTGGCCCAAATTCCATCCTGTGCCCACCCCTTTGCCAGGTGAGGGAGGGACCACTTGATTGACCCAAGGACTGGCGATGGGGTGGTTCCCCAAAAGAAGAGCAAGTGAGGAGAGCAGATGCAGGACAGGCCAACCCACAGCTGTCGACTGACATGGGCGTTGGAGGGACAGCTACCCTCTGAGTTCTGCAGGCTTCCATGTGTATCAGGAGGCCAGCCGTATCCTAAGCACCTCTGTGTGCAGAGCACCCTGCTAAGGGCCATAAGTGTACCAAGGATTAAGACGTGCTCTCTCTTCTGATTTCTGAACTCGAGGAGGACACACCTAGTCACGTAAGTTAAATGTCATGTTAGACTTCTAACCCCATATGGACACAGATTTAATGTCCTCGAGCCAAGGTTCTAGATGGGTGCACGTCCGTGGGCCCAGCAGACCCAGATTGAAACCACTTTGCGCCAATGAAATTGGTTGCCTAACATGCTCGCTCTTTCGCCCTCTCTTCTTCCTTATAGTGGGAATGTTATCATAGAGACAAAGTTTTTTGACGACGACCTTCTTGTAAGCACATCCAGAGTGAGACTTTTCTACGTTTGAGAGAAGAATGTGTGTGCATTTCAAGAATTTGGGGTTTTTTGGGGGAAGGAGGAAATGGTTTACTTTTTTCCTCCACACTTTTGATTTTTGACACTTCTACCCCTAATTCCCTCTATGGCAAAACCCACCTGCGGCCACCAGGGGACCAGCTCTGTGTAGGTAGCCAGATGGCTTTTTTCTCTCAAGCTGCCATCTTCCACCCACCAGACTAAATTCCCAACCCCAGACCGGGGCAGAGGACGTGCCTCGACTCCTCCCAGAGTAAACCTGGGGACGAACACATACCACGAGCTGATGCTGTTCCTGTCACCCTCCCTACCTCCTCCTTGGGCCCGGTAGGCAACATGTCTTCCTTTGGCCCCCCGTTTTGGAAAACTTCACGTTCGTGACCCATGTTTAGTTTTTTCCTACCATTTCTATTTCATACATTCTCATACATTTAACTTGTAAAATAGACTGTGATATTATTATTATGTACTGAATTAAAACATGAATTAAAACATTCCTACAGTCTTTAGCATGGCACTGCTTTCATCTCTCCTTTTTCTGGAACGTGAACCTCGCTCCATGACGAGAAGGAAGATTTATCAGACCGTCGGATCACAACTATATTGTACTCCGGAGATCAACTGATAGATCTTGCGATTCCTGAGCGCTTCAGTTGCTGCTTTCCAAGAATGTACAACGAACCCGAACAAGACCCATGACCTTAACATTTGTCTTCAGGCAGCATAGTCAGTGGTTCTCTTCCACAACATACATGCACCCTTGTGTTTGTTCATTGTCATTGTTTTTAACTTTTTCCATTCCTTTATAATGTGCATTTGTTCAAGAGGTTTCCAGAAAGTGTAGAAGTGCTAAGCTGGTAGAGTAGGGACTAAGTGAGAGAATAGAAGTTACAAAATGAAGAAAAGATCTCCTGAACTTAACTGGAGGACGATGGGCAAGCATTGGGATGGGGCGGGATGCTGGGAGGCCTTACAAACCGTGGTCAGAGGAAGCCAGTGTGGGGGAGCAGTGATTACATCTGCAGTGCTCTCAAGTCTGGCATAAGAGAGAAAAATAAAAAGCGTTCTGTTTTAGGAACTTACCTCTGAACTACCAGGAGCCTTCACTGTCCTTTATAAAATACCAACAATTAAAAGTTTTTTGGTTCCCAAAGTAGTAAGATCTGAGCCAGAGGAGAGCAGAATACACCAAGAGATGGGCCTTCTTTGGTGTGCCCCTGCTCTGGTTCCTGCTCTCCTCTGTTGTTCCTGAAGTGTCTGTTTGCATCTGTGCGGGGGGAGGAGAAGCAGTATATTTAAGCATCCTCTCGCCACCTTTCCCTGATGATTCTGTTCCTCACGTTAGATCTCTTGTCTTCAAAAGCTGATTTTTTTTCCTTTTTTTTCTGCTTTATCTCCCCAAACCCCCCCTGTACACAGTTGTATATCTTAGTTGCATGTCCGTCTAGTTGTGGGATATGGGGCACCGCCTCAACGTGGCCTGACGAGCGGTGCCATGTCCGCGCCCAGGATCCGAACCCTGGGCCGCCGCAGCGGAGCGCGCAAACTTAACCACTCGGCCACGGAGCCGGCCCAAAAGCTGATTTTTAAATACCAAAGATTGGATTTAAAAAAACAAGGTAAAAATGAGTCAAGGATTCCTTTTGCGTTCTAAAAATGCCATCAATATTCTCAGAGTGAACCCATCTCCTTCCCATTTCCTGAACCATATCTGCTCCCCAGAATTCCATCAGGGAAGGCTCTCAGAGCACGGGACACATTCTCATGGAGAAAGGGCTTCCCAGCGAATTCTCCACCTGCTTAGAGCCTCCTTCACTGTCTTCTCCACTTGCTCACCCAGCCCGGACGGTCAGGGACACACTGCTTTGCTAGCTGCTCTGAGAACACAGAATTATAGCCCAATTGTAGTTAGAAGCTTACCATCTCTCTGGGTAACAATACATATGCTCAGGAAATATTTATCATTTTATTATGAAATGAGCAAGGCAAAAAGTGTGTGCTCCAGGGACAGCACTGATCAAGGGGTTCTGTAAGCTGTGCAGGTGGGATCTGAGCTGGCAGAGGGGACGGCTGAACGCTACGGTGGGAGCACAAGGGAAGTGGTACAGGCCGGGGTGAACACAAGCAAGAGGAGAGGACACAGGAGCTGTGGGGACGAAGACCCTTGGTAGGTCCAGGGTGGCCCCTGTAGGGTGGGTGCAAGTGCAGATGCCTGCGTCTGGGGTTTTTGTGGATACATCGAGGGCCACAGAATGTTATTGGAAGCAGCAGCATGCAGACCGGGCCTGGCACGGTGTACAGCCACTGGTTCTCAAACATTGATGGGCACCTGCCGCACCCCAGCGATTCTGATTCAGTAGATATGGGGCCCAGAAATCTGCCTGTGAAAGCACCCAGGTTTTGATGCAGGTGGCCTGTGGACCATATTTGGAGAAACACTGGTCGAGGCACTTAGTGAATGTTAGAGACGTACGTACAAGCGCGATGGCCATAAAATAAACAGGTCTCCGAGCAGCATGCTCAAGGAACAAAGTGTGGGCCCAGTCCTGCCCTGTGAGGCTGAGGGGAAGCGTTCAGCCGCTCAGGGCAACAAGAAGACGTTTAGAGTCCGTGTGGGGAGGAGAGGACAGAAGAATCAGGAAGCACAGCCCTGCAGAGGGATTTGGGAGAACTTAGAGACTCTTTCAAACATAGATTTCTATTTCAAGAATCGTGGTTAACCTCTGCCATGTGCATCCATCTCCCCATCTGTGTTACTTGGCAGTATTTTGAGAGTTGGACTTGTGTGGTGGGGCGTGTGGTGAAGCACTGAGTCTGACCCTCTTTGGGCATGAGGGGGTAGCAGGAAGCGAAGTCTACCAAAGGGGATCTAGCCACACTCCGGCCACACTCACAGGCCTATTGTCTGTATCAACAAGATGTCGTGTGAGGCACAGGGCTGCCTTGACGGAGCTTCCTCTCCAGCAGAGGGATATGACAAGTAATTAGAAATGCCTGCCAGCAGGGAAGTACAAGGTGGGAGTTTAAAGGAAAAAGAGATTACACACAATTCAGAAAAATCAGGAAAGCCCTCTCTTCTCTGGATCCTTCAACTCTGAGCCTACAAAACATGTTCAAGATACCCTAAAAAATAAATTTTTAAAAATAAGGCTTTCCTTCAATCCTGCATCGCCTTCAGACCCTGCTCCATCCTCTTTCTCTACAGATCCAAACTTCTTGGGATTGTCTCCACTCCCTACCTCTCATTTGCTCCTCAAGCCCGTGCTGTCTGGCTCCGGCCAGTGTTCTCCTCCACTGGGGTGCATCAACGAACTCCACTGATCTACCCCTTCCAGTCCTCCTTGCTTAATCTGCTGCATTCCGTTCTTGCGCCATCTCCTGGAAATTCTCTTCTTGGATTCTGGGAGCCCCTTTCCTGGGTGTTCTCCTTGCTCCTTTGCAGGCTCTTTATTTTCTTCCAGCTGCCTTGTCCCTAAAATATTTGTTGGTGGATTTTGGATTTTTTTTCTAGCTGTTGTATATTGAGAACGTGCTATGTACAAATTCTTGAAGCATTATACATTCCCTCCATGCATATTTATTGAGCACTTTTTATGTACCAGACATTGTTCTAAATGATGGAGATACTTGCTGGACAAGATGAGTGAAGTTCCTACCGTTAGATTCTAACGAGAGGAGACAGAAAGCAAACCATTTCAGGTGGTAATCAACACTCTGAAGAAACAGCACAGCACAATGGCAGCATCAGTCTGGAGTGAGGAGGTGAAAAAACAGAGAGAAGTCAGGATTCAGCTTTTGACCACCAAAACAGGAGGGACAGTCCCCAGCATGTCAGTAGTCTGGAAAGCCACATTTTACTTGAAAGAAAAGATTTTTTAAATCCCTTAAACCATCATCAACAATGCAAGAATCAGGCGTGCCACCCCCCTTTGTCTCCTTTACTACAAAGAACCCAGGATGTGACAGGATAGGCCTGCCTTGTGGGAGGAGTGAAGGTTGCCCCTCCAGCCTGGTGCAGGTTAGAGAGGAGAAATGAGGAAGACGAGGGGCAAAGAGGTCAGGTGCTGATGTCCTGCTTCCTTCACCCCCCAGGCTTGGCCGGGAGGGGTAGATAGAAACAACCACCCAGGTGTGGGAGAAAGATGAGAACTTCCTGCAGGTTAGAGGGGAGAATGGGCTGCCCCACAATCCAGTAGACGGAGGCCTATTGACTGAGCTTCAGGAACATCTCCCCCATTGTGTCCTCCATCCCCACTGCCCCGGCGCACTTCCTATAACCATCTGGGGCCAGTCCAGCCAATGAATGGCACTGCCTCCCCTTCTGATTTATCCTTCACATCACAAGAGAGAGCCCCAAGATGTGCATCTGGTCACCAATCCCTTGGTACTGTCAAGTTTATTTTTAGAACTTGATAGTGCCCTGGTAATTGTTTTGCAGCATTCAAAATGCACTGTTACAATGGCCCTCAAAGTGAAGACATAATCTGCTTTAGCAGTTCTTTTGGTGCTTTTATTTGGTCTGAAACAGTGGCTTCGACTGTAGCTTTGAATAAACTGAGGCGCAGAGTACAATGGAGTAAGAAGCAGAGATTTGGTGGATACATTTGGTTCTCAAACTGTACATCAAGGCACCCCAGGGCACTGCAGCAAAGTCACAGGGGTGCCTCAGGATCTTTTAATTTTCAAAGGAAACACAGCAATACGAGACATCTGTCGCACGCTGCTCAAACCATTAGCTTGAGATAGTTCGGTTTCAACATTAGACCACACTACATTCTTTTTGATGAACTATCTTTGGGAAACCTGATTTTTGAAGGTTTTGGTGACAAAAAGCAAGTACCCTTCAAAAGTCACTGTGAACAGGAAGTGAGGATGGTGGTGTCCAATCTGATTCCAAGGTCTGAGAAGCTGTGCAGTGCCCAACAGGCACACTCACTCCATTAGTAAGTCATTGTGATTATAAATGAAATAAAAGTATTTTTCCTCTCAATTGATGTGGCTTTTCTTTCTCCAAAATAATACAACAGCTACTAAGATATAAGTACTTAATAAAGAGAATTGTTATTTATTTTGGTCAACTTGCACTGTGAAAAAGTTACTAAGACACTAAGTATGCTGGAACAGAGAAAGTTTGGAGAACTCTGGTAAGCCCTTAGTTTTAAAATATGCCTTTCAGAGGGTTAGAAATGTTACTGCACACAAAATTGGGGTTCTCCTACCCAATGCACATAAAAAAGCCAGCTAATTATGGCATCAGCTTTTGGGAAAAGAAATCAGCTTTATTTTGCGAGGTTGATCTGCAAGGAGATAGAGGGTGTGTCCCCCCAGATCTCTCTCCTTGATCCTGGGTATGGGGCAATTTATGGGATGAAGGGCAGGGTGGTCTGAAGTGTGGAGATAGATGATGGGAGGTGAGGAGAGGTGAGGTAATTGATGATCTGTGCAAGCACAGTCAAGCTTCATGCCTCTTCTAGGACGCATGGTCACAAAATGGCAGTGTTACCATGACAGA